GGCCGGGTGTTCAAACTGAGTCGTTTCTTGATGGGTCCTGTGGCCCGGCGAGGGCCCCCCAGAGGCCGAAAGCAACCTCGGAGACCTTCGCGTCGTGAGTTCTTGACGACGCGAGGGGGTCTCCGAGGCTGGGACACCTTCAAGGACCAACGAGCACGTCCGAAAACCTTCCGCCGCGACCTTCTCGCGACGCGAGGAGGCCCCCGAGACTAGAAAACCTCCGAGAACCCACGGGAACGTCCGATAACCCTCCGCCGCGACCTTCGCGCGACGCGAGGAGGCCCCGCGGGGGGAGGCCCTCTCCTCCGCATGGCGGGCCCGCAGCGCGCCAGGCCGCCATGCGCGAGGCCGCGTCGAGGGCCGCTGGCGCCCTGCCGGCCAGGGGCGGCAGCGCGGAGGACCTAGAGGCGTCCCTTCTCTTTCGGGTGCGGTAGTACCGTTTCATCGATCACTGTCGCCGGGGGGAGGAGGAGGAGGATGAGGAGGAGGAGGAGGAGGGCGAGGAGGAGGCGGGGGGCATGCCCTTCTGTCGCGCGGCGGGAGGGAGGAGGACCACCACCCCGGGCAGCGCGCTGGGGGCCGTTGCCCGCCGAGCTCGGGGGGGGGGGGGGGGCACGTGGTGGACTGAGCCCCCCTTGAGGCGGCCATCCGCGACGGTCGGTTTTCGCACGGGACCCAGGCGGTGCTCCGCAGCGTATTCTCAGGAGGGAAAGAGCGCACAGGCACAAATAATCGTCGATTCCCATGAAACTCTGCAGAATATGGGAAGTGACGAACATCCAGAGCATCATGTGGAACACATGGGGAATCCTGGAATTTGTGCCTACTTCCCATATCCACAAAGGATGGGGTTCTTGTTATTCTTCATATCCTGAGGATGTGTTACTACTCTGACAGCGCAGACTCCCCTCCCTCCTCCTCCTGCTCCTCCTCTTCCTTCACCTCCCTCCTCCGTGTCTTCCTCACGATTTGAAGATTGATGGTGGTGATGCGGATGATGGTGATGCTGATTATGATAATCATGATGATGCTGATGATGATGACGATGCTGCTGCTGCTGATGATGACGATGATGATGCTGATGATGATGATGATAAGGATGATGCTGATGATGATTCTGACGAGATGATGCGAAGGATGACTGTGTTGATGGTGATGATGACTGATGTCGATGCTGGTCGTGATGATGATGCTGATGACGATGACGATGATGATGTCGATGCTGACGATGACGATGATCACGATTGTGATGATGATGATGATGATGATGATGATGATGATGGTGATGATGATGATGATACTGATTATGCTGATGATGCAGATGATGCTGATGCTGCTGACGTTGATGGATGATATGCTGCTGCTGACGAGGGTGATGACGATGACGATGCTGATGATAGTGATGATGATGCTGATGATGATGCTGATGACGATGATGACGTTGATGACGTTGATGATGATGATGGTGATGCTGATGCCAATGGTAATGCTGATGATGCTGATAATGCCATTGATGATGATGATGACGAAGATGATGATGATGATGATGCTGATGATGATGATGCTGATGATGATGATGTTGATGATGATGATGGTCATGATGATCATGATGCTGTTGCGGTTGATGATGATGGTGATGATGATGATGCCGATTCTGATGATGATGATGATGGTGATGATGATACTGATACTGGTGATGGTGATGATGACGATGCTGCTGATGATGATGGTGATGATGCTCATGATGCGGCTGAGGATGCTGATGATGATGATACTGCTGATGTTGATGGATGACGATGCAGATGACGATGATCACGATGATGATGATGATGATGATGATGATGATGATGATGATGATGATGATGATGATGATGATGATGATGATGATGATGATGTTGATGATGATGATGATGATGCTGATTATGCTGATGATGCTGATGATGCTGATGCTGCTGATGTTGATGGATGATGCTGCTGCTGCCGCTGCTCACGAGAGTGATGACGACGATGACGATGTCGATGATAATTATGCTGCTGCTGATGATGATGACGATGCTGATGATGCTGCTGCTGATGATGATTTTGATGACGATGATGCTGCTGCTTCTGCTGCTGATGAGGATGTTGCTGTTAAAGATAAAGATGATGATGCTGATGATGATGGTGGTGGTGGTGCTGATGCTGATGATGATAATGATGATGCTGATGCTGTTGTTGATGATGATAATAATAATGATGATGTTGTTGATTATTACGATGATGATGACGATGATGGTGGCGATGATGATGCTGAGGATGAGGATTATGATGAGGATGATGAGGATGATGATAATGATGATGATGATGATGAGGAGGAGGAGGAGGATGAGGATGATGATGATGATGATGATGATGATGATGCTGATGATGATGATGATGATGATGATGATGATGATGATGAGGAAGATAATGATGATGATGATGATGCTCATGATGATGATGATGCTGATGATGGTGTTGG